ATCGAGCCAAATACGAAGGGGTAGACACAGTATGCAGTGCGTGTGGAGAGGAAGAAGAAACTGCCGAACACTTGATAACGTTCTGTAAAGGGCTTCACCCTATAGTTCAGGATGATGGCGCAGAGTTTTTCAAAGCACTGGGATTTAGAGACAGGGAGGGCAAAATATACTTTAAGCGGGTAGACTTAACTAGAAGAAGGTTATCTGATTGGTGGCTAAAGTCCAGGCACGAATGAAAATTAAGCCCTTCACTGCGAAGTACCCGCTCAACTTTACTATTTAAAGGGAAAAAAAAGATAAATCTAGTGGTTAGTTCACTAAATATTATGGCTAGGTGGCGTTAGCCACCGCCCGATCTAAAGGGTACAGCCACATACATCCATCGATCCATCCATGCATTTGCGTTCAATCCTTGCGCTCCGCAAGCGCTGCGAAGCCTGCAGGAGGCTGAGCCACGCGAGGCCATTTATTGTTTTCCTGCATTTTAGGAGTGTTTTTTACATAATGCTTTATTGTATAAGAACTACTCGACTGCTTTCACAGTAATTGCGCTTTGCAATACCAAATGAAGGGCGTTTCGTGGCATGCATTTCGCCATCTGCTACTGCCCGCAAAAAAAAAAAGACGCAGATCCCACGTAACTTGGGAATCAATGCTATGCAAGGTGACTCTGTTGTAATTTTTTATGAAGTGAGACATTATGAAGTCTCACTTCATAATGTCATATTGCCTGGGCTGGGAGATTTCCTGGCACATTTTCTCTCGAGACAAGACAGGCGTTCTTGCACTCATCACAATTATTGCTAAGTATACACTTTCTCGCAACGTAGCCTACGACATAATATACAAGGTGGGAGTCACTTCGCTCAGCAGTGTACGATGCATGATCTATCGACACTATCGGCACCCAGGCACAAATCACTAACGCTGGGTCTTTTTTTTTTTTTTACCATTGACATCCTCTGGCATTTCAGAGGAACCTAGCGCAAACACTGACTGATGGCATACTTGCAATGTAGCGACTGCTTGCTAAGAAAATCCCAGCGCACCTACAGCAAACACAGGGAAGTGCACTGCTCCCTACCCGGATGGATGGATGGGTGGATGGATGTGGCTGTACCCTTTAGATCGGGCGGCGGCTAACACCAACTAGTCGTAATACTTAGTGAACTAACCACTAGATTTATCTTTTTTTCCTTTAAATAGTAAAGTTGGACGGGTAATTTGCAGTGAATGGTTTAATTTTCACTCGTGCCTTGACTTTAGCCACCAATAAGATAACCTCCTTCTAGTTAAGTCTACCCGCTTAAAGTTTATTTTACCCTCCCTGTACCTAAACCCCAGTGCTTTGAAAAACTCTTCACCAGCATCCTTAACTATAGGGTGAAGCCCTTTACAGAACATTATCAAGTGTTCGGCAGTTTCTTCTTCCTCTCCACACGCACTGCATACTTTGTCTACCACTTCGTATTTGGCCCGATATGTCTCGGTTCGCAATACTCCCGTCCTGGCCTCAAACAGTAGAGAACTACCCCGAGTATTATCATAGATCCTTTCTTTGGCAATTTTCTGCTTAAAAGTTCGATATATCTCTAGTGCGGACTTCTTAATCATGCCAATCCTCCACATGTCAGTCTCCGTTTCTTTCACTTTCTTCTTAACCGTTAGTTCTTTTTGGTTTAACCACCTGCTGTTTTCTAAGTATTTACCAGACAATTTCCTGGTTCGCTTCCTCCATTTTGTATTGACATTCTTCCTGTACAAGTAGCTGAAAACCTTCCTAGCCCAATGCTCCTCCCCCATTTCTCTCAATCGCTTCTCAAATTTTATCTTGCTGCTAGCTTCCCTGCCCTCAAATGATGTCCATCCCATATCACCTTGTACTCCCTGATTTGGTGTATTCCCGTGAGTTCCTAAAGCAAGCCTACCTATTCCACGTTGCTTAATTTCTAATCTTGCTTGAACTTCTGATCTCATGCACAAGACCGCATTGCCGAACGTCAGACCAGGAACCATGACTTTTTTCCATATTCCTCTGACAATATCATACCTATTGTAATTCCACAGTGCCCTGTTTTTCATTACCGCTGCATTCTTGTTACCTTTAGTCGTCACGTATATTTTGTGTTCACTTAGGTACTCGGCCCCATTGCTTATCCATACGCCCAGATATTTGTATTTATCTGTTATTTCTAGCGTGACATCTTGTATTCTGAGCTCACTACCTTCATTGTCATTAAAAATCATGACTGCTGATTTTTCTTTACTGAATCTGAAATCTAACCTATCTCCCTCATTACCACAGATGTCCACCACACTCTGCAAATCTTCCTTGTTGTCGGCCATCAGCACTATAGCATCTGCGTACATCAATGCTGGTAGTGCCTGTTCAATGAGTTTTCCTTGCTTCACGAAAGAAAGGTTGAAGCCCAGTCCACTTCCCTCTCATTTGGCCTCTAATCCTTGTATGTACATCATGAATAATAAGGGTGACAGGGGACACCCCTGCCTAAGCCCCCGTTTGACCTCTGCAGATACCTGTTTTTCCCACTCTATAACTACCTCGTTACTTTTATAGATTTCCTTTAAAAGATTAGTGACTTCATCTTCCACACCCAGTGTGTCTAGTATTCCCCACAAGTCCTCTTTAACCACGCTATCGTACGCTCCCTTGATATCCAAAAATGCTAGCCACAGAGGCCTGTGTTCCTTTTCTTATATTTCGATGCACTGCGTATCTGAGAACAGATTGTCTTCCAACCTCCTGTGTTTCCGAAACCAATTCTGCAGTTCCCCCAGCACCCCCTCTTCCTCTATCCATGCTTGCAGTCTTTCCTTTATAATCTGCATCGCCAGCCTGTAGACCACTGATGTCACTGTTATAGGACGGTAGTTGTTTATGTCAGCTTTGTCCCCCTTTCCTTTATAGATCAAGCTCATCCTGCTAAATTTCCATCCATCGGGAACTTCCCCATCAATTATTATTTTGCTCACTGCCTCTTTCAAAGCCTGCTTAGACTTCGGACCTAATGTCTTTATCAGCATAATTGGAATGCCATCTGTGCCTGTTGATGTACTACTAGGAACCCTTTCCTCAGCCCTTTCCCACTCTCGTTGTGAAAATTGGGTCCATTGCGCCACTGGATTCATCCTTGTCTATTGTGGTGCATAAAACACTTCTTTGTTGAAATTTTTCTGTAACCCTTGTTCTTATATATTCAATAGCTTCGTCCCCTTCTAGCCTAGCACCTTGGGCTTTAGTTATAAACCTCTGCTCTAGGCTCGTCTCATTTCTTAGGGAGTTTAGATGGTTCCAAAATTTCGCAGCTGCCTTTCTGTCCTTTTTATATACTTCTGCTGCCAGCAACTGAGCACCCTTTCTTCTAATCTTTTCATTGATCAGGAGGGATACTTCCCTTCTAGAGCTTAGAAAGGTTTGCCATTTTCTTTCAACATTATCTGTCGGTTCACCCTGCTGCTTAGCATGTCTGTGTTCCCTAGAGGCTTCCTGACGTTTAGCTATGGCTCTCTTAACTTCCTCATCCCACCAACTTTTGGGTTTGTGTCTTCTTTTCCGGGGGGACTTGTCACGCGTCTTAGCAAGCTCTACCTCAAACAATCTAATTAAATTCGTGTATGTCCACACTGTTTTATTATCCTTCATGATTACTTTCTCAATTTGCTTAGTGGCTATCTTAATTTGCCTTTCTGGATAAAAATTTTCCTGTAGTTGCTCATCTTGTCTTCTTCCCACTTTCACTGCTCTTCCAAAACTTAGCTTGATACGTTTGTGATCACTACCCAGACTTCTGGAGCCACCTTCATCGATGTGCATTCCCCTGAGCTTATCATACATCCTATGTGACATCATTGCATAATCTATCGTCGACTGCAGCCTTCCTACCTCCCATGTTATTTGCCACACTTCTCGGTACTGTTGCAAATGATCAAATCATGCCTTTCACACAAATCCATGATCATTTTGCCTGTCGGGTCGGTATACCCTTCTATATCTTCTATGTGTGCATTCATATCTCCTGGTATAATTATCTCGCACTTTCTTCCTAACTCCTGAATGTCTTTTGATGTACACTCTACCATTGCCTGGTTTTGCTCTCTGGCTTTTGCTCCCGTCCACAAGTACACGAAACCAAGGAGTGTCATTTGACCTGTCACTTTCCCTTTTAGCCATAAATGTTCCTTGCACTCATGCTTGACCAACGCCGCCTGTAAAGTATAGGAGGCGTTGGCTTGACCCTTGCCAGTCTGTACTTTTATGAATGAATGCCCCAATACCACCCCCTTTCTGCTGCTTCTGTTCTATTGGCTGAATAAATGTTCCTTGCACTCATGCTTGACCAACGCCTCCTGTAAAGTATAGGAGGCGTTGGCTTGACCCTTTGCCAGTCTGTACTTTTATGAATGAATGCCCCAATACCACCCCCTTTCTGCTGCTTCTGTTCTATTGGCTGATGGCAGCGGTCCGCGCCGCTGCTATCAGCGCTCCTTGCGGCATCGGCGCGCCGACAAGCGTAAAGCGCCTCGCTCATCACACCTCCCCGTTCCAGCCACCCTATCCTAGATTTCTTGTTCCTGCCGGATTATGGGTGGTCACTTGGGATTCGGGAAGCGGCGGTCATAGGAACTACGGTGGTAGCGCCACTCAAGTAGGGGTGTTTTAAAATAGGTTTTTACGTTTTTGAAGCTTATGTGCTACAAGAATAACGGAAAAAAGTTTTAAAAAGGCGTAAACGTAATTTAATTAACCCTACGTAAGTGACGCTGTCATTCAATAAGCAACTTTTTTATTACAAGGCACCCTCGAAAATTAGTAGTAAACGCCAAAATTGCTAATCCTAAAGGCTAAGTAAAAAAACTGATATCCCTACGTAGGCAGCGCCGCCACAGATGACCGGCGTTTCGCGCTCATCTGGCAGGCACAGGAGGCGTTGGTCAACGTTACTGGATGAGGACGTTGGCGTTGGTCTGAGGTACTGGTAGGTGTTCTGTGGTACTACTTCCTCCGTATGTGATAGTTTTCCTTCTCTAGTGTATAGGTGTTCTGTGGTACTATGGTGTCGACCATGTGGAGTTGTCTCCGAGCTACTCTCTGTGCTTCTCAAGAGTGTTTATCCATGACACTGGTGCAGGTAATACGAGAGAAAATAGTGCTGTTTCGTGGGAGCTATAATAGCTTGAACTTTTCATTCAGATGTCATTTAATGTTCGTTTGCATTACGATAGGTATGATAAGCATGTTTTCGGGTGCTGTAAGTGGTTGCTGTTCTGCGCGGAGCGAACAGTCGTTGGTAAGAATGCAGAGTGGTAGCTTTGTGCCGGCTCACTTTTGATTCTCCGCAAACAGCCTGCGTGTGCAGTTAATATTTGGTCTTGCCGTGCTCCATAAAGCTGTGCACATGGTCTTGACGTTAAAGGATTCAGCTTGTGATCTTCTGACGTCAAGTTAAAACTGCTGCGTGCCTGCAAGCGCCCTTCTGGTCTGTAGTCTTTAGGGCTAACCGAGAAAAGATTCTTTCCATTCGGTGACCCGCAGGGCGCGGGTTCGAATCCCGGCTGTGGCGGCTGCATTTCCGATGGAGGCGGAAATGTTGTAGGCCCGTGTGCTCAGATTTGGGTGCACGTTAAAGAACCCCAGGTGGTCTAAATTTCCGGAGCCCTCCACTACGGCGTCTCTCATAATCATATAGTGGTTTTGGGACGTTAAACCCCACATATCAATCAATCAATCTTTCCATTCGGCACTGGAGTGAATGGCTTCGAAAGCTAATCAGCAACGCACTATTCACAAGAATTTCCCGTGTACTACAGTTTAAGCCCATTAATTCCCGGCAGGTATTTGTGCTTACTTGCATCAAGCTCTTGTTTATTCGGTCGGCCACAACCCGGTTAATTCTGTCGAGCTTGCCAAGCCCGCAACACCACAAATGTGTCGCGAAAAAAAAAAAAAAAAAGGTCTTGAATAAGGCGCCGCTATCGTGTTGTTGGCCACTAGGGCTTCAGCGGCTACGGCTGTCATTTCGATTTCACCCTGCCCATGCGAACTGCGTGGGCTCCAATGATTGCTTCGATAGGGATTGGGGGGTCAAAGCTGCCGCAAGTAGTTGTTTCGTTTTCGTCACATGCCTTCGCAACACCGTGGACTCCATGATAGTGTTTATAATAAGCAACTACGTTTTCGTCCACAATAGTATCGGCACGGACTTGATACCGTTGAGTTCAAGCAGCGCGTGTGCATTGTTATAAAATTCAAACATAGTGGAAGCTGTTCAAGACGAAGAGCTTAAGCCGTGGTCATCAGGAACAGTTGTCAGAGATTGTTCGGTAAGGTTCTGTTTGGTGTCGCAGAAGTCAGTTGCCAGACTTGAGGGTATTTGCCTCTGCAGTTTCAGGTTTCCCGTATAGTTCCTGTGTAATCAATTGTGCCTGTGTGGTCTGTTGACATCGGCCGATTTACTTAGATGCCTTTGCATGTTGCAGGAAGTCTGAGCCCACTTTTTTCGCTGTTAATAGATTGAACTGTATCGTGCTTCAAAAAGAGGAATTTACGCATTCAGGCTTGATGGTGTTTCAAAAGTACGAAACCCACGTGCAGTGACGTATTTATTGGGCGAACTGAAGAACATCGCAAAAGTCCGCACAGAGTATGGGCAGCGTTGTGATACATCGTTGTCACCGAAGTATAGAATACCTCCGTAGCTGTGCATGCCGTTCTGGCTACCTGGTAACCCGGGCAACTTGTGTTCATCACAGATGCTGGCAAGACCCTGAAGTGGCACATAGCTTACTGGTGCCTTAGAGACAAGGGCACAGCATGCACACTTGAAAAACACTGAGAGCTGATGGGAAAACATAAAGGAAATGCTGGAGCTGTACAACCAAATATAGCGAACAGATTCAGCAACACTATGGCAACTGACTTCTGCGACACTAAACAGAACTTTGCCATTTTTTCGTCGAAAAAAATTATTGTCACGTGCACGTGGTGGTGTTTGCATGGCAGCACCTAATGAATATGGGTTCAGAACACATTTCGGTTTAAGGCACGGGGGCTTTGAGCAACAGTGATGATATGAACGTAGGCACGGATGACAAAAATTGTGGCTTCGACATTGCTTTTATGCGAAATAACTACAGGATTCACATATCAAGATATTCATGCAATGGATACTTGCATATTGTTTTCTTGATACTTGCAATTATTCAGCTGTCATATAATTTCGTCAGCTTTTCCGGTGTCCTGAAAACTAATTTAACGATTTTTTACTGTACGAGGGAACTTGACTCATGTCTTCGAATTGTGGAGTATTTATTAGTGTCCTTTGCACCATTTAGTATCCTTGTGGCCACCAAGTGGTGGTGACTGTTGCTGTGTTTGGGGGGGGGGGGGGGGGGGGTCCGCACAGCAGGCATCGGTACGTGATCATGGTGAAATGCTGACTCGCGTAGCTAGCACCCACAAAAGTCATGGGCCAGACCGGAATGCATTTAAACTGCTTGATGGCATTACGGAACTCATATTTGAGTGCACTTGTACCGCTGCATCACTTTGCTGCGTAAAGTGAGTAAATAATGAAATTGTGCTGTGCCTTTTAAGTTTGTTAATCAGAGGCGTGGGCGTCTCTGCCCTTCTCCAGTCTTTTTACTTTCATTGGACTGTCCTGAAACACTTCCCCATCTTCTTTTTTAAATTACTCGAGGGATAATGTTTAAGTAAGGTCTCGTGAACTTGTTAATATTGCTATATTGTACATTGTAGTTATCAAGACAGGAGAAGAAAATGGCACACAATACCCAGCACAGATAAGCAAATTGAATTGTTCCTGTTTCATTGAAAGAGAAATTCTCGCAGCCTTTTCTGGAGTGTGCGAGTGGCTTGAATCGAATGTACCATATAAGTGATGCACCTAATTGTTTGCTGATTTTTCATGCATTTGACAACCTTTTTGTACTTTTCTGGGTAGTACTTGTGCCCAATAACATGTTATACCGATATCGTTCAGCAATGTTTTCATATTATTTGGGGAACAAGAACTTGGAGAACGCTTGAGTTTTGCCTTCAAGAGTAGAATTCAATGGCGCAATGAGGCCTTGTGCGCATTGCCGTCTCAATTTCTAGTCTAGCTTGAGTGCGCCTTAACCGTACAACTGTGCACTGCACATGCAAGCTTGCTTTGGCCATAACGTGCACACTTCACCAGTCGGTTTGGTGGCCTATAGATTCCATATGTCTTGCAATGACATATGAGGCCACACGTAGTTTCCAGACGTAATATTCGTGTTTTGTTTAACTCTTTCCTTCAAATTAGTGGTTTCACTGCGGTGTTCTGGTTGTCACAATCGTGACAGCCTAAATAAACGACGACAGTGGAAATTTTCGCTTGGCAACTTGTCCTTCATGTTGTCTAAAGCGTTCCTTAACTTTCATGTTCATACATACACTATTTTGATGTCGGTCACTTCTACATATCTCACAGCATATCTAACCTTCCAACCGCAACATTACTCACGTCGTTAATTTGTGCATATTTTTCTTCACCTTGATTTGGGTTGGCTTGAAGGCCTTCCGGTTTGGCTAGGACTGGCGTTAGCAGAGGCTTGCCAGGCTATGCAATGTCTTTGATTATTATTATCACTATCATTATTATTATTGGCGATGCAACGGAAAATGTCCTCAGCTACACACTTATTGCTGGTAGCTCGCGTTTCAAGAATAGATTTGGGTAACTTCATCTAAATTTCTCATTTCAGTTTCTTGTGATGGCATTAATAAATCTGTTATTACTTTTTAGCGTTAGGCCCATACAAGAGTACGCGAATGAAAGTAACCCGCCGGCATCTGTGATAAATCTATGGAATCAAGGGAGCTGTTGCACCCTGACAGATTCCTTCTTGCCAGTGTGTGTTCAAACATCACCGCTTTAAACACAATTCATAGCTTTCATTGCAGGCACTTGAAAACTTTTTCAAACTCTAAGCATCAGAGCCCAAAGAAATGAAACATCAACATGCATGTGCTCGTGGTGGAAAAAAGAATGAAAGATAGAAAGAAAATTATGTAGTACGGCTCCATTCTTGCGACATTGTTGTTCAGTGCAAGGTGCACGGAATATGCGAGTATTAGTGTTTTGTTTTATTGAGAAGTATATACTAGAGGTGTGCAATTTAGGTGGGAGTCCATACCAATAGTAAAAATACGGTAATACAGGTTGCATCAGGTCTAATCCAATCCACATACTAAATAGTAAAGTCAGTAAATACAGGTTGATGTAATCCAATCAACATCCTGAGTTGCCTAGGCTGTAACCATTTTAGTGAACTAGAATTAATTCAAGTGGTGTAACCGGTCGGGATTTGGCGTTTTACACATGTGCCACGAGATGGTGCGACTTCTATGTTTTCTAGCTGCTTTGGCTGCATTGTATAACAGTCGTTGACTCCTTGAAACTTTTAGGTGTGGTCAATTTTAACTCGCGTTTGCTTTCTGGTTCTTCCAAACAATAAACAGCCAACTTGCTTACTCTCTGACACAGAGGTTGCATTCTGGCTAGATATACAATTTTTTCATATTCACTGCTCGGGCTCATAACATTCTGAGCACTTGTGGTACATTTATGTACTTATTTTATAGGAGTTCCTGATTTTTTTTACCATTCTAGGGTCTCGAGGAAGCAGACGTAACGGTCATGGAATTTGCTGTAAATCATTGTGGAAAACCTGGAAAAGTCAGGGAATTTTGAAAAAGCAAATTGGTAGACACCTTGACTACATGTCTGTAAGGCAACTTGCAAACCTAAGCAGCTTTTGCTGCTGCTGATGATGATTATTAAATGTGTTTGTGTTTCGTAGTGGGTGGGCCTTTAAAACACGCGCTCATTATGCAATGCAGACGTTTTGATGCCTGGCGTGATTCTATGTTTCTGCCATGCAATATTACATGCATTGAGGGGATTTCTTCTACTACATTACATTCATACAGCATATTTTTTTTAAGCAGCTTCAAGAAATATAGTGGCTCTGTGGTATGACACTTGCCACGCAGATATCTTGGGTTTGATTCTCACTTGGACCTGAAGATTTTCGTTATTTATTTTATGTGCTTCTTTCGTGATTTTTTAGTCAAACTAAAACAAGATGTTTTTTTCACTCACAACTAATGACACTGATTGATGACACCAGAATTCCTGTAAAACGACCTCATTAATGCTATTGCAATATAAATGCACCCAGAAAGGGTGGCAGCAGGCCACTCACTGCAAGAAGGGAATCGAAATAGAATCTACAAAAATGACACACCATGCGAGTTAAAAAAGGAATAAAAGAAAAACATTTTTACAGTCCACACAAATTCAAAAGGGAAAAGTAAATTTTATGAAATGAGTCTTGTCACTCACTACATAAGTGATAATACATTTCAAATGCGACGCCTCAAACCACTAGTATATTAACGCTCATGTGGCATGCTGAGATGTACGCAGCAGCCCACTCAGTGGCACCACCAGCTGGCCAAGACTTTTGGCCAGTGGTATTTTTTTGCATGAACAGCCTGCTTGACAAGGACGACGAAAAAACCTACCATTGCAGTTCTTAAGAGTGGACAATGCAGGGCACTCTAGAGAATGGAGGCAATGAATGTATTGCCCTTAGTTAAGCCATGGATAAAGGGATTCTTGTTGGCAACTGTCTGTAAAGTTAACAAATGCAGCCACTTAATCGGTCTCTTCATTCCCAGCAATCTTTTTTTCTTTATAGTAACTGCTGTGCAACGAGAGATACTGCACACTATAGCACGATAAGTTTTGTTCAGATTAATAACTGAGCTGTAAAGCTGCCATCACTATGTATTGGCGTGCTAGTCAATGCATTAACTACAATGTCTTTTACTAGTCTGCATAAACTGATGCTGCAGGTTATAAATGTTTTGAGTATATCAGCAGCTGAAAACCTAGTGGTGAATAGCAAATAAGCTAAAGTCTTTTGTACATCTAAAAGATCAGTGCCTTCACAACTATTAAGAGTGGTTATAAACAAAATTGTGGAAGAGCATCCGGTTAACCAGAGCTATTCTTCCACAATGTTATTTATTACCAGTTTTAATAGTTGTGAAGGCACTGGTTAACCAGAGCTATGCCTTGCCGAGGTAGTCTAGTGGCTAAGGTACTCGGCTGCTGACCGAGAGGTCGCGGGATTGAATCCCATCTGCGGTGGCTGCATTTTTGATGGAGGCGAAAATGCTGTATTCCCATGTGCCCAGATTTGGGTGCACTACAAAGAACCTCAGGTGGTCGAAATTTCCAGAGCCCTCCATTACGGCGTCTCTCATAATCATATGGTGGTTTTGGGACGTTGAACCCCACATGTCACATATTATCAACCAGAGCTACCTAAAATGCAAGTCAGCCACTCAAGGTGGCCCTTGGTTGCAGCCTCAAGGGCATTGTGCCAAAGGTAATCCATGAGCCAAGCAGTGTTGAGGATGACGTAACTGTAGCCGACTGACACGTAGAAAATGCACAACTCTTCTTTGACGCTTCAAGTTGCACTTTTTATGCATAACTCTTCTTTGAAACTTGAAGTTGCACTTGATGTTAGCTTCAGGCAACTTTACTGAATTGAGTGGATTTAAAAACGGCGCTATTTTACGCATTTTTTTCTAATTTTTTTAGATATATTTCAACATTTATTGTCATCACATGAATTTATACTCATGTTATTGATAAACACGAAATTGCTAAATCATATCTGCTTGCATACATCCTTGTGGTAATGGTGAACATATCAGACCGAGATGTCTGGCTGGTTAAAAATTTATACAAAAAAAAAGAAAAACTCTCTAGCCACATTTAGTCCAAAGTTTCTAATGTTCAAATTAAAAAGTAAAAACTGACCGGACGTTTCGGGACCGAGGCAGTCCCTTCTTCAGTGCTAACTCTCTCTCTGGCTGGCTCTGAAGCCAGCGTCTTTTTTTTGTGTTGTCCCCCTCTCTCCATCGTCGTCCTTCCTGCCATTCTTGTTGCTGTGGTGTTTTTTAAACTGGTTCCGTAGATCCTGCATGTATGCACACGGCAGCGTCTCAGTTGAGCGCTTGATGTTTCGAGATGTTTGGATTGCATATCCAAACAACACCTGGAATTAACAGCATGAGTTTTAATTTTAACATTATAAACTTTGGACATAAAGTTGCTGTAGAGTTTATTTTATTTGTATAAACTCTTGTGGTACTACACTCTCCCTTTGAGAGGTTCTTCAAGCTCTACTTGCTGTTCTTAAATGAGAGATTTCAATAGCAGCGTTGGGCTTAGTTCAGTTACATCGTGACCAATTTCCAGGCCTGGTGTGGCACTATATTGCGTGGCAGGCCTGGTGTGGCACTATATGGCACTATAAAGTTCCCCCTGGTGTGGCACTAGGGGGAACTTACTAGTTGAGGGTCGTGCCAGCTAAAGACAAAAGAAAGAGACATTCCACACAACACAGCGTTAACTTTCAACAACTGTATTATTACTCGCCAATCCCCTTAGCTTACTATATACTCACACCATGTGATACGCCACGTGTGCATAGCTCTCACAACCATAAATGTAAACTACCCGCTCACATCATGTACATTGATGACATACTATCATTCATCATGTGCAAGCACATTTATTCTAGTTGCTTAACCAAAAACAGTTTATCGTGAATGCTTGTAATTGAGTTTTTTATCTGACAACACTACGGATGTACCGGTCTGTCCACTACTCACACATGCATCACCAAACATTGAAATTCTACTGGCCTTCATTATCAATCACATCATTTCGCGCCTACTTCTACTAGTGACGGCTGGATGTTTTAATCTAGGCTTGTGCTTGCATCTTTGGCAATGAAGGGCAAGAAAACAATCAAGGTTAACATTACTTACTTTCTTATTATGCCCTTGCAACCTATAATTTATACATTTACTGGTCTGTCCAATGTAACACTTTCTCCACTAGTGCATCTCATAATGATGTTGTGGTTTTGGGACTTAAACCCCACATATCAATTATCTAATGTAACACTTTCCACAAGTAAGTGAAATGCCTTGTAGTACATTCAATAAACCTCTTTCTGCACTTTATTTCGTGTATGCTCTCTGTTGTCCTATCTGGTCTTGGGCTACCACACAGGCTTACCGATATATTGGGCGCTCAAAAGTCCTTCATGTCACTCATTTCAGTGATCTTTATTCTACGGTGGAGCCTACATATGTATGGGATGACTGCAAAATTTCTTTTTTTTGTTATAGCTTGCACCATTCACCTGCTCAGAGCCTTTGTGCAGTGCTTTTTTATGCAAGCCCTCTGCAACTGATATGATGAGATGCTTGAGATAACCCATGTTGCTTAGCTGTGAGACCTGTTTTCTGAAGCTTTCATGCATAAGACTCTGGCAAGGCTTCTTCATTGCTTAACTGAAGCAAATCTTCATGATTCCCTGTTTAATCAGTTCGGTATGTCCTGAGTGAAATGTTAATGGGCTTATTTGCTCTGTATTTACAACACTATCATGTCTTTTTATCAGAGAGTATTAAAGGGGCCCTGAAACACTTCTTCAAGTAACCATGGAATAAATTCACTGGAAGGAGCTTATTGCCTCATGAATTCAATGCCGCAAAAGTTTTAAGCATCTGTGCAGTGGAAGTGGAGTTAAAAAGATTCGTTACATGCTGCAATTGCATTCTCTCTTCCCTCATTTCGATGAAAGTGCTGTAAGCTAAGCAGGAAGAGATCACAGGGGTAAAGAAAAACGTCATGCGCAATTCGTCACCTTGAGCAATTTTTCTTTTTTTTTTTTTCTTCGAATGCGCCGCTTTTTCAGTGTAATCACGTGTGCATGGACAAGTCGCGGCCTTCTGCGGCGATCTCTGTAACGACCGAGCGCACCTAATGTTTCAAATCAGCCAATGCCTGATAGATAGGCTTTTTACGAGTGATTTTTGAGCGTCTTCCAAGATTTGTCGAGAGAAGAGAAAGCAATTTTCAGCTGACCTAAATATTTTATTGTGAATTCCAGGCTGCATGCTGCACTATAATGTTTGGCTCGCGTGTTGTCGGAAGCCTCTACTACAGATCGGCAGCGTTTTCTGACCATGCTCAAAAAAGTGTTCCAGGGCCCTCTTGAGTTAATATCTAGGAATGTAATTCTTTTGTCGCATGGCATTTTAAATGTTACTCCAAGTTGCTCAAAATAGTCTAAAAAACACTGGAAATGCCAGTACATTGATTGAAAAAAAGCTTCAGTTGTTTGACAAAAGCTACAAAAAACAGCAGGCCTGTGCAGAAAGTGCAGCCGAGTTCTAGCAAAAGCTGAGGAAGTGGTATTTATAGAGCCTGTTATAAACTCTCTAGGGGCTACTAGTACAAGTACACTTGCTAGGTGCCCATTACACCATGAATAATAATTTTTGTAAAGTTGGGAATCGTACACTGCACCATTATTCATGATTATGCGGAGAAGCGGGGCACCCGCAACACATCTACGAGGCATCATGTGTACTTTGTTGATGTGATAGCTGCTTATGGAGGGGTGCAGCAGCTGTGCCGATTGCTTTAATTTGATACTATTCCTGATTGTTACACTAAGCTGTGCCAAAACCATGAAATTTGCTGAAATCGTGCCACGCTGCGCTAAAATGCCCAACTAGCCTGAAGATTTTCTCCGGTGTGTGGAGAAAATTTCGCGAGGCCACGTTTGCCACATGCAGTTTGCGTGATCAATCAAAGTGCGTAGACCCTAACCCTAAACCACGGT